GCCGCCGCCGCACGGTGAGTAACCGCCCGAGCCTGGGGCCCGCGGCCCGGGCCGGACCGACCCGGCCAGCCCCCGGCCAGTCCCGGCTGCTCGCCCCGAGCGCAGAGTGAAACTTGCCTCCCTCGGGATCTTCTCTCCTGTCGCCCACACTTGGCTCCCCATCTCTCCCTCGCTCCCGCCGCCGTCTCTGCCCTGCTCCCTGGCGCCCTCGCTACCCCTTCTCTCCTGCGTTCTCCTTTCCGTCACCTCTGTTAGGGCGCTCTTCTCTCCCAAACCTGGGGTCCCCACACCAATGCGGGACCCGTCTCGCCCGTCCCAACTCTGGTCCCCAGCTAATTTAATCAGGGTCTCCAGGAAGGCCTGGAGGTCCCAGACCTGGGCATCCTTTCTGGGAAGATGGGCTCTGGGCAGCGGCTTTCTTTCCCTCTCACCCTCCACCGGGAGATTAGGAAACTGAGGCAGGGACCTCACCAGCTCAAGGTCACAGCAGCCTGAGGCCGGGCAGAACCGCCTTTAAACCTCATGCCTGAGTTTCCATACTGCACTCCTCGCTTGGTTGACTCACTTCCCGCTCCTTGTGATCCGCTGCTGGCTGGCACGTTCCCGCTGGGGGTGCTGCCCGGCCTCCCCCAGCATAAGGAGGGCTTCTCCCAGCCTCCTCCTGCCTGAATTATCAAGCTCATCTTGACACTGAGGGAGGCGATGCTGTATCCCTATACTCAGAGAGGGGGCTCAGGGTCTCCCCCGAAGTCACAGTTGGAAGTGCAGAGCAGAATGATAACCGCAGGTCTCCTGTGCCCTGCACACCTGTGAGGCATCCGCTGGCTGAAGGATCCTTTCGGTCCTGTCTTTCTCCCTGCCCCGGGGACATTGGCTTATTTCCTAACTGGAAGCTTTCATGGTCCTGCCCCCTAGCTCAGCTGCTCGGTTTCCCCACTTGCACCGCCTAATGCCGCCCCATCAACCTGGACAGTGCTGCCCTCCATCCCTGGAGTGTCCTCACCAGGGTACATCCTAGCAGCCAAGCCACCTCTGGCAACCAGAAACACCCAGCTAGGCTGGGCCAGCCGGTAGCTGAGAAGAACCCAGCCAGCGCCTCACCCTGTCATTAGGGAAAGTTTAGCCTCAGGCGGGCATGCTGACACACCGTCTGGAGCAGGCTCTGAAGGAAAAATTGTGTGGTCCTTGGGAGTAGGTGTGGAGGAACAGAGCCCCTTTGCTCTGTTCGTCCACCATTTGGATCCGCAGGTGCCCCTGGGCGAGGCAAACAGGAGATGCCACTTTTCCTAAGCAGGTGCCTGGCCAAGGGTGGCAGCCGACCTAAGTGCCTTTTGTGTTTTTCAGCACGTGGCATGCCTGGATGCCCCTGCCCTGGCTGTGGTATGGCGGGCCGGAGGCTGTTGTTCCTCGCTGCTCTTGTCCTGGAGCTCCTGGGAGGGGCTGGGAGTTCTCAGCCAGCCCTCTGGAGCCGCGGGGCCGCAGCAGCCTGTCGCCTGGACAGCAAGGAGAGCGAGTCCTGGGGGGCCCTGCTGAGTGGGGAGAGGCTGGATACCTGGATCTGCTCCCTCCTGGGCTCACTCATAGTGGGGCTCAGTGGGGTCTTCCCCTTGCTTGTCATTCCCCTGGAGATGGGGACTACACTGCGCTCAGAAGGTGGGTGTTTTGGTTACCTCATGCTGCACTGAGGGGAATATACCACAAATGGGATGGCCTTAACAAACAGGAGGTTATTCTCTAACAGTTGGGAGGCTCTAAGTCCGAGTTCAAAGTGCCAGGCTCTAGGGGCTGGGTGAAAGCCTTGGGCTTCAGCTCTGTCTCTTGCTCCCAGCTAGAGGTTTTTCTTCGCTCAGACAGCCGCTGGCTGCTGAGGCTGACAAGCCCAAGGTCGACAAGTAAATAGGCACAGTTGCAGTGTTACCAAACAACATGGCAAGCCACTGATTCAAGTCCATTGAAAGTCCCAGTGACTTGGGTACATGCGAACTTCAAGCGTGCCATAAGCTGGAGACCTTCCTCAAAGTTGTTTCTTACCTCCTGGAAGCAGCCCACATCCCTAAAGCAGCTACTCAGCTGCTCCAATAGATTCCACCATGGAGTTAATTGCCAGTCTCACTATGGAGAATAACTACCCAGCTGCCCAGCCACTCAGCCAGGCCCAGCCAAGTCGACGCACAAACAGCTACCACAGGGGGTGGCCCTCTTCTGATGCTCAGGTGGCCAGCAGTATGGGAAGCATGCTGCTGCTGTTCCGGGAGACCTGGAGTCTCTCGTCCTGGGTTACAGTGTGTGCGATGGAGAACAGGGATAGAATCGAATTCCTTACTCTGGACCCGTGAGACCAGGGTGTGTCCTGGCCACTTGGTCATTCCTTTGTGCGTTTATAGGTCCTTTCTGTCAACAAACATTCACCAAGAAGCAGTATAGATAGAGGTTGGAAATATGGATGCCAAGCCACATGGGCTCTAGTCCAGGAGTGTGACATAGTAGGTCTGGACTGTGGCCTCAGGGATCTGTAACAAGCACCCAGGGGCTGTGCTGCCCCAGGCCCAGGAACACTCACATAGCACAAGGTTACTTGTTACTTGGAGCAGCTCCTCCAAGCCAGGTGCTGGGCTCAGGGCTGGGACAGCTGTGATCCGAGCCCCGAGGGGCCTGCTGTCATGCCGAGGACCCTGGGTGCCAGCTCACACGCTTCTCAGAGCAGCCCTGGAGGTCAGGGTAGGGAGGACTCGGATTGCTAGCTCCATTTTAGGGGGGATGGGGCACAGGCACAGAGAGGTTCTTTGAGCAGCCTCGGGCTGCCCAGCCTGGAAGCAGCAGCTTCCCCTGAGTCCCCACCCCACCACTAAGCTGCCTTTGCCCTCGGGCCTCAATTTCTCTATCCAAACATGGCGCTGGACTTGGTCCTCTTAGTGCACTTCCACCTCTGGATGCTACAAGTTTGCACAAGTCCACAAATGAATCTCTGCTACTTTCCTGAGAGAAGAGTGGCTGGTGAGAGGAAGGTTCCCATTTAATGGGCACTGGCTCATTTCATTCCCACAAGACCCCTGTTCAAGAGATAAAGTTATCCCCAGTTTGTAGAAGGGGAAACTGAGTCTCAGCAGTTCTCTCCCCAAGGTCCCCAGCAGGTCAACTGAGGAGCCCATGAGGCTCCAAAGCCCAGGCTCTTCCCCGTGGTGCCAGGCCATCCAGGAGGTCATGGTGTGTGCCTGCTGAGCACAGGGCCCTTGCTGGCCTGGAGGGTGGGCAAGCTAGGGAGAGCTGCAGCTTCTTCCAGAGGCTTACAGTCTGGTGGGGACAACAGAGAGAGCCCAGTGAGCTGGGTGGGACAGAGGCTGGGCCAGGCTCTAGCGGTGGATCAGCCCCTGGGCCCAATCTCTGCCTTGCAGCCGGGGCCCGGCGCCTGAAGCAACTGCTCAGCTTCGCCTTGGGGGGTCTCTTGGGCAATGTGTTCCTGCACCTGCTGCCCGAGGCATGGGCCTACACATGCAGCGCCAACCCCGGTGAGTGAGGCCAAAGCCCTGGGGCAGGTGGGCAGGAGGGGGAGCTGGTGCCCATACCCAGGGCTGCCCAGGCTCTGCCTGCACCACCAATGACTGGGGGAGGGGCTCTGGGCATCTGGCGGGATCTTGCCATAGAGGGAGGGTCGTGGTCCTGGTCCAAGCACCCTGGCCCCTGTGAGGATCCCTGGAGCCCAGAGGCCCCTCCACCCAGCCCTGCCTGTGGCTCCCGTCACTGCCCTGGACTAGGTTCTAATGCAGGTGGCCTCCACTTCTTTGGCCCTGGCTTGGCCTGACAGTTCCATCCCTGCAGGCGGTGAGGGGCAGCGCCTGCAACAGCAGCAGCAACTGGGGCTGTGGGTCATTGCTGGCTTCCTGACCTTCCTGGTGTTGGAGAAGATGTTCCTGGACAGTAAGGAGAAGGAGGGGCCCAGCCAGGTGAGCCCTAAGCCCAGGGCCTGGGGATTTGAGCTGAGCCCTGGAAAGAGGGTCTCTTGGCCCTCTTCCCTGGGAGCTCTGGGACACTGGGCCAACTCCTTTGGGAGGATCTGGGCAGTGATAGCAGCAGTGCCTGCTGTAACGTATGCTGATGGACTGATAGAAGCAGCAGTGTGGGCATAGAGGCTGTCGCGTCGGGGGCATCCAGCTACAGAGAAGTCTAGCCAGAGAAAGTGTGTGTTCTTTGTCTGTCTGTCTGTCTACTCTTTTATCACTACCCTGGCTGGATTGGGGGCATCTAATGCCACCTCTTCCTCCTCCTGGACCTAGGTCCCCAGCAAAGACCCCATGGCTGCTACTGCTGCTGCCCCTACACTCAATGGAGGCCGCTGTCTGGCCCAGCCAGCTGCGGAGTCCGGCCTGTGCACTGTGGTCCGAAGCATCAAAGTGAGTGGCCCACTAAGGATGCCCTCCTCCTACAGCTGCCCCACCCTGCATGGTTGGCCCAGCTCTGCCCTTCCTTCCTGGCTCAGCCCTCTCTGCCTGGCCCTGCCTACCCGCCTCAGCCGAGCTGTCTCCCCTCATCCAGGTTAGTGGCTATCTCAACCTGCTGGCCAACACCATAGACAACTTCACTCATGGGCTGGCTGTGGCTGCCAGCTTCCTTGTGAGCAAGAAGGTGAGTGGAGATTGGGGTAGGTGGGGTGCCAGGCATTGCCAGTGGGAACGCTGGTACCTGTGTTGACCAGCTAGATCTACCTCCAGAGTATATCTCCAGTCTACCTACTTTCTCCCTCCATTGTCAGTACCCTCACCTAAGGCCCTCCGTCTTTCTGCCTCCCAGACACTGCCACAGCCTCCTTGTCGGTCTTCTGGCTCCATCTTTTGTCTAAGCCCTGGTCTGGTGGTGTGGGATCACCCATTCCTTGCGGGTCACCCTTCATGGCTTTCCAGAATCCACGGAACCTGCCAGACTGGTGGGGTCGGCCCCTGTCAGCTTCTAGATGCCTCTTCTCTGCTCCAGCCTCTCTGCATTGCTCTCCCACTCGGTCTCCCGCTCTTGACCTGGCCTTGCTCCTGCCCTCCTCACAGCCTCCACCTCACTCTGGCACTCCGCCTGGACTGCTCTGTCGCCCACTCAGACAGCTGGCTCCTCATCCTGCAGACCTTGCATTGTGTTTCCTCAGTGAGGCCTTTGCTGACGTCATGTAAATTAACCCAAACCCAACCCACTGCCATTGAGTCGATTCTGACTCATAGCAACCCCCATTAGGTCCAAAGCTGTAAATCTTTATGGAAGTAGATTGCTTTGTCTTCCTCTCAAGGAGCACCTGGTGGGTTTGAACCACTGATCTTCTGGTTAGCAGGCAAATGCCTTGCCCACTACGCCACCAGAGCTCTTGCATATAAATCAGGGCTCCTGGTATTCATGCCCAGCATCCAGTCTGTAATCGTACATCTTTGTGCATTTGCTCAGTCCGGTGTCTGCCCTCCAGCTGTAAACATCATGAGGGAGGGTTCCTTCTTTTACTCACTGCTATATTCCCAGCAGCCAATGCAATGTCCAGCCCAGAGCAAACTCTGGGAACTCAGCTCAGAGCTGAGTGTCTATAGTGAGTGTGCAGGCCCCCAGCACAGACCTCCACCAACTCAGGCTCCCTCCCCGCAGATCGGGCTCCTGACAACCATGGCCATTCTCCTGCATGAGATCCCCCATGAGGTGAGTGCCTAGAGCGTGGGGGAGGATTGGAGGGTGGGACCGTCTGGCGACAGCGGGTGGACTGCATTGTCATCCTGGAACCTCCTCAGGACTGGGTCCCAGGTGATGGGATGTGGGCAGGGGACTGGGTGTGGGGTCATGCCTGAGACGCACAGGGGTCCGGGCCCAGCTGGGGCTGAGTGAACCCCCGGACCTCCCCTCAGGTGGGCGACTTTGCCATCTTGCTCCGGGCTGGCTTTGACCGATGGAGCGCAGCCAAGCTGCAGCTCTCGACGGCACTGGGGGGCCTTCTGGGCGCCTGCTTCGCCATCTGTACGCAGTCTCCCAAGGGCGTAGGTACGGGCGTGGGGGGTGGTGGCAGCAGGTGGCGGCAGCAGAGGGACCCCAACTCCAGACGTGGCTGCCCTACTGGCCCCCGTCTGCCCTGCGGGAGGGGTGGGATCATACAGCTCCCCGGGCTCCCAGCCAGCGGGCGTCCTCCTCCCACTGCAGAGGAGACTGTGGCCTGGATCCTGCCCTTCACCTCTGGGGGCTTCCTCTACATCGCTCTGGTGAATGTGCTGCCAGACCTCCTGGAAGAAGACGACCCCTGGTGAGTGACGCCCCGGGCCTGTCCTGGCAGGACCCTCAGATGCTCAGGAAGGAGGGGCACTGGCCTCTCCCTGACCAGCCCGTCCCCACAGGCACTCCCTGCAGCAAGTGCTTCTGCTCTGCGCGGGCATCGTGGTCATGGTGCTGTTCTCGCTCTTCGTGGAGTAGCCATGCCAGCCGTCCCCACCCCCACAGCAATAAGAGACTGGGATTCATTCTGTGACCATGTGTGAGAGGCAGAGGGCGAATGCACGTGAGACAGGATACACCCCCGACCAGACAGGAGGGAGGGTGGGGGTGTGATGTGTCCATGTGGCCTGTGGAGGTGTGTGTGTGAGACCAATACTGTGAGCCCTTGGGTGCTGGGCCCAGGGCCATGCCAGGGCTTCCTGCCTTACCACCCATCCTCATCACCTCCCGGAGCGAGTGGTGAACAGCAGCAGCCCTGGTCCCAAGCAGAGGCCTCTCCCCATCAGGATCTTAGGCAGGGAGCCCCAAAGCTGGGCCCTTGGGACCCTGGACCTTGGGGTCCAGGCTGGGCAGCTCCTCAGGTTCCTGGCCCTCCCTTCACCCCCTCCAAGGCCCTTTCCCTGAGGGCTAGAGAGGGGCAGCTGCTCCTGTGAACCTCCAACACTACTCAGCACTGACAGCCACACCCCTCCAGCACCGGGCGGGGAGGTGCTTCCAAGGCCTGTTCCTAGGGCTGTCCCCCCGCCCCGTGGGCCAGCTCCTGGTCCTCAGCGGGTGCTCCCCGGCAGCACCGACAGCTCTTGCCAAACGGCAGCCTGCAGGGCAGTGAGCAACCCAGGCCAAGGCCTCACAGTCTGGCTCAGGGATGTCTCTGCCAGCGACTCTGGGAGCAGGGAGAGTGTGCCTACCCCTCGCTCGGGGCCCCTTCGCCTTTCCCTTTGGGGCTGGGCGAGGTGGGGGCGGCAAGGGCCCCTTTTGTCAGCGCTCAGGAATGTGCTCTGGGAGAATGCTGAAGCCATAATCCCCAGCTATTTCCCTTGGCTGGCGCCCAGGTACTCAGCTGGCCCGCTCACGGCCCGGCTCAAGCGCTGCCGCTCACCAGTGGCTGTTTGGAGAAGTGGCGGTTGAGAGGGTCTGGGTTTACAGCGATTCTGCTGGAACTGTTTGTAAATAACTTGTTCTATAGACAAGATGGAAATAAAGCTCATCTACAAGCTGGCGGCCTCTCTGTTCTGCACACAGATTCTATGTTCACACAAGCCCTCCTGGGTGCCGTGGCCACCCTGTACACACAGCTGCCAGGTCAGCTATTTCCCCACCTTCAGCTTCAGGCCACCTCAGGGCCTCTGCCCTGGTTGGCTACCCCCTCCATCTCCAGTCATCCCTACTCCTAGAGCGCAACACAGGAGAAAACCAAACCAAACTCACTGCTACTGAGTCGATTCCAACTCACAGCAACCTCCATTGGGTTTCCAAGACTATAAATCTTTATGGAAGCGGACTGCATCTTTCTACCGCAGGAGAGGCTGGTGGGTTTGAACCACTGACCTTTTGGGTTAGCAGCCAAATTGCTTTAACCACTATACCACTAGAGATCCTTAAAGGTTATAGCATCGTTCCTGTGGCCTGCTTTAACAGCTCTTTAGCCCAATGATGGCTGAGCACGCACTATACACCTGGCAATATGCCAGTTTAGCCCCTCACCACTTTCAGAGTGTTCTAAAGAACTAACTGCTGGGGCTCCCCTCACCACACGACCTGGTAATGAATCAGGAAGGAAGCCCCACTCCCAACATTATGTCCAGGTTTGGCTTTGATGAAATTATTACTTAAAAAAGGAATATGATCTAAGCCAGCTCCCTCTCCTCCACGCTGGGGGTAAAGGCACCAGGCACCGGGGGGCGCTGCTCCCCACAGTGCTGCACTGGTAACTCACAGAAGGGTGAAGTCATGTCCTACTCTCTCATCTCCACGCCAACCAGGACACCTTCCAGAGCCAGCGGGCCAAGAGCAGCAGGGCCGTGGAGTCTGGTACAGGAGGGGTGGCAAGCCCAGATCTGCCACATCCTCAGTACTCTCACCCACAGAACAGAGGAGGGACATAAATACCTGCTTCACTCTGGTGGCACAGTACCTAAGGCATCCAACAGCTAACCGGAAGGCTGGTGGTTCAAACCCACCAGCTGCTCCTCAGAAAGAAGGTTGAGCAATCTACTTCCGTAGAGATACCACCTCGGAAACCCAAGGAGGGGGGGTCACTGAGTCGGATCTCACTCGACAGCAGTGAGTTTTTTCACCTGGTTGTGAAATACTCAGGAAAACTGTGTCATCTCAAGGTCCTGGCCTCCAGAGCCATCAGTGCCAGCCCACCCTCATCTCAGCAGGTGCCCAGGGCCCCTCCTGGGTGGCAGACACTCACACTCAGCCCCAGGAAGGAAGCAGTGTGGCCCATCTCATAGGTAAGGAAGCCATGGCATGGTGAAGGGGGGCAGGAACTGCAGTTTGATCCATATTCCAGGGCCATGGTTGGGAGGAAGTGAGCACCCTATCTGGTTAGGAGAGAAGAGGGAACATAGGAGAGAGGGCAAAGGAGGTAGCTGAGCTCAGGGCAGGGGACAGAAGTAGGGCACCGCAGATTGTACTGCTGGGCCTTTCAAGGAGGATGGTGGGAAGTCAATGGGACTCCCAAGGAGAGAGCGAGTAGTATGGGCAGCCAGGTCACAGGGACACCAGGGAGGCAAGAGACCACAGGAATCAGCTGGAGAGGCAGCAGAGCTTCCAGGCAGAGGCTGGGACAGCCGACGGCAGTGTCATATCCACTTAGGAGAGGGGAAAGAGAGGGAGGAGGGTACAGGCTTTTACCAGAGGGTGTAAGAGCTGATGGGAGTTCTGAAAGGCCGGTAGGTGGCTACCAGGGGCCCTGGCAAGACAGCACAAAGACTCTATTCTTCGTCCTGGGTTTGAATCCGAGCAGTGCCATTTACTAATTGTGTCATCTTGGCCCAGAGTCCATGGGTGGTGCACACAGTCAGCAGCCAAAAGGTTGGAGGGTTGAGTCCACCCAGAGAAGCCTCGGAAAAATGGCCTGGTGTTACTTCCCAAAAACCACCCAATGAAAACCCTATGGAGCAAGTTCTCCTCCGACATGCATGGGGTCACCAGGAGTCAGAATCAACTCAACGGCAACTGGTGATAGTGCTGGAGCCCTGGCCCAGCTGCTTAAACTCGCTATGAAATGGGTTCCTCCTGGTTATTCTCATAACTAAATAGGAGCCTGTGTAAACATGTACAGCACGTGGCCCAGCGGAGCCTCAACAGCCAGCTCAGGTGTGAGGTGCGCAGAGCTGAAAGCTGGGGGGGTGGGAGACTGGGGGGGCCTGGCAGAGAGTGGGGGGCAGATGGCAGGACTGGGAATAGGCAAGAGAACACAGCATGATGGAAGATGAGGCCTAGAAGGGGTCTGCCTCACAGCAGATCTTACTCAGGCTCATTTTCCAGCCAAAAGCAATGGGCCAAGAGCCGGGGACACACCGAGAACAGAAGGCTCAGGGGCCTAGGCAACAAGGAAGAACTTCACAGAGCAAGGACTAGTGGGACCAGAGCCCCAAATGCAAAAGGGAAAGAGGTGGGCTTCTCTTTCGGCCCCGCATTCAAGTAGCAGATGACAAGCCTCTTAACAGCTCAGAGACGTGGGCGATGGGGGAGGGGAGTGAGGAAGGAACAGGCTAAAGACCCCAAACAACAGCTGCAGCACCATGCCCATCCCTCCCAAAGGGTCCACCCTGACAACTGGTTTGGCCTATGGGTGGCTCAGGGGCCTCCCACATAAGGTCCCACTCCTCTACCTCAAACCCAGGTCAGACAAGATGGACAGATGGCAGGGTCCCGAAAACCATCTTTTATTACTAATTTTAACCAGGCAGAGACCAGGGAGCAGTCCAGTGGGCAGCCTCGCTAGGCGTAGTATTGCAGGTTGGCTTTTTTCTTGGCTTGCACCTCCAGGATGCCCTCCATGTAGTCTTCATGGGTGAGCTCTGTGGCACCCCGGCGTAGCGCGATCATGCCCTGCAACCACGACACACAGGGTGTAGGGTGCCTCCCAGAGGCCTCAGGCAAATGGCCTGTCGAGTCCAGGGAAAGAGGTAAGAAGACAAACATTCACCCACTCCACCAGCTACTCACCGCCTCCACACACACGGCCTTGCACTGGGCCCCATTGAAGTCATCTGTGCAGCGGGCCAGCTCCTCATAGTTGACATCAGGACTAGGGAAGAGAACAGGGAAAGGAGCCCCACAGGGCTCAGTCACTATGGTGATGGTAAGGAGAAGAAGCAAGGTCAACTCACCCTGTGACCTTACCCACTATACAAGATGGAGCAGGTTAAAGCGACTTTGACCATGATCTCTTGTCTCTTGAACTCCAAAAACCAAACCAAACTCACTGCCATCAAGTCAATTCCGATTCATAGTGACCCCCCTCTGGATTTCTAAGGCAGTAAATCTTTACAGAAGTAGATTGCCCAGTCTTCCTTCCATGGAGTGGCTGGTGGGTTTGAACTGCCAACCTTCTGGTTAGCAGCCAAATGCCTCGGGTACTACACCACCAGAAATCTGCATCCACTTCTTTAGGGACTGGCTTTGCCACAGGCAGGGGAACAGAGGATTGTGAGACAAAAGATGGTCGCCTCCACTCCGTTAGAGCGGATCCTATATTGGTGCCACATAGCCACCACTGTTTGCTATAAGCACCAAGCCAGTGAGTGCTGAGGGCACATGTAATTACCAAAACCCCATGAGGTTGGTGCTGTAACCCCAAGTTTCAGATGATAAAGCTGAGGCTTAGGGAGGTTATGCCCCCTGCAGCAGGTTGCAGAGATCTGATCCCAGGTCCATCTGGCCTCTGGCTGGATTCTCTGGGCTACTCTTGGGCTGAGTTCATCTGCTGGGGGAGGGCTCAAGGGCCTCTGGCCTTGCCCTTGGGTCATGGAGGGTTAGGAGCAGACTCTAAGGAGCAGAGGCCCCCAAGAATTAGGCCTGGGCCTCCGCACAATTCTATTTTGGAAAACCGGGGAGAAGTGGAGGTGTGAGTGGTGGGAGAGTGTTGCAGAAGCCTGGGGGAAGCTGCATACAAAGAGGAGAAACGGAGACCAACCATTGCCAAAGCTGTCCCTCAGGTCCTGGCTCCTCTTAGCTCACCTGACATTCATCTTCCGGGAGTGGATCTGCATGATTCTGGCCCGGGCCTCTTCATTGGGCATTGGGAACTCGATCTTGCGGTCCAGACGACCTGAGCGGAGCAGGGCGGGGTCCAGGATGTCCACCCTGTTAGTGGCTGCAATGACCTGAGGAAGAAGAGCGGCACCCTTAACTGAAGAAGGGGATCATACGCAGGCACAGTCATAAAAGGCAGAGGATGGGTGTGGGCGCAGGAACAAAATAAAAACCAAACTCACTGCCTTCGAGTCAACTGCGACTCACAGCGACCCCTCCTTGGGTTTCCGAGGCAGAATTTCTACGGAAGTAGATTACCCAATCTTCCTTCTGAGTAGTGGCTGGTGGGTTTGAACCTCCAGCCTTCTGGTCAGCAGTCAAATGTTAACGGCAGACCTGAACTCCCATTCTTGGTCTACTGCATACTAACTGGGCAACCCTCTGAGGAGCCTTGATAATACTCACTTTTACTTGGGTGTTGGGCTGGAACCCATCCAGCTGGTTCAGAAGCTCCAGCATTGTCCTCTGGACCTCCCGGTCCCCAGCCTTCTCACTGTCAAAGCTGCACACAGGAGGCCGAGACACAGTGAGAACAGCTTGGGCACAGCTGGCCCCCTTCTCCATTCACAGGAAGCCTAACCCAACCTGCCCAGGGCAGGGAAACGTCTCACTCAATGGGGCCCTCTGGTCTACAGACGGGCACATGAAAGGTGCGGAGAATTGTTGGTGGCAACATTCAACTGAAGAGACTCCTGTTCAGATGTCATGCTGAGGATACAACAGACAGCAAAAACAGCCACTACCAGCTGTTACCTGATGAACATGACTGCATACTGCACCAGGCTTTGGAAATACGGCAATCAGGCCCAGACATGGGACACTGTGTGAGGCTGGGAGAGTGTAGGTGGGCATCCCTGAGGAAGTGTCCCTTAGGCTGAAAACACATTGAAGGCTGAGGCCAAAAAGACAATGGCAGACAACCAACCAATGGAAAACGGAGGAAAAGGAAAAGCACATTCTAGAAAGGAAAAAGTAGGTACAAAATTCCTCCTGCCAGAGAGCTAGAGTCAGCCTAAAAACCAGGAGGGGGAAGAAGTGTGTGTGTAGGATGAGGCCAGAGGCTGGCAGGGGCAGCTTACATGTGGGGCCTTGCAATCTCTAGCTAGGTCAGTATTTCTCTGAAGGAGCAATGAGGAGGCCAAGGAAAGGTTTAACAGCATCTGTTTGTGTGGAGGACTGTGGGGGCATGAATCAAGTGACCAGACTTGTTTTGCAAAGAGCATGTTGGCAGCTATAAGGAAAATGGATGGTCAGAAGAAATCAGGAAGCCCAGTTAGTAGAACTAGAAGAACAGAGCAGCCACTGTCCCAGTGGAGGGGGGAAGAGCTGGAGTTTGGAACAGTGGGGAATCCAAGCCCTCCTGCTATAGGAACCTCATTAGTGGTGCCCAACACTCCCTCACCGCTTGGTGCCGATGGCATCCAGCTCGTCAATGAAGATGATGGATGGAGCTTTCTCCTTGGCCAGGGCAAAGGCATCCCGGACCAGCTTGGCACCATCTCCAATGAACATTTGCACCAGCTGGGGGCCAGCCAGCTTCAGGAAAGTGGCCTGGGAGGGGAGGGAGTGGTGGGGTAAGGCCAAAGGGACCCGGAGACCCCCCTTTGAGCCCACCTAGTAGAGCTTCAGCTCTGCCCATTTCCTCCTTATTCCTCCTAAAGCACTCACCTTAGTCTGTGCAGCACAGGCCCGAGCCAGAAGGGTCTTCCCTGTGCCTGGGGGCCCATACATCAGCACACCTTTGGGAGGCTGGATCCCCAAGTTCTCAAACTTCTCCTTGTGGTTCATTGGCAGGACAATGGCCTCCACCAGCTGCCAAGATTAGGTGAGGAGAGTGAAGCCCTGAGAGCTCCTACAGCCCAACCCTTGATGTTAACCCCAATCCGCAACCCTCCTACACCAATTTAGAGACACTACCCTCCCTTTTCCCTATTTCATGACACAGTAGACCACCCACCCCCATGGGGGGCTGGCTATGGCCTCTCAGAAGGAAGTCTAAAGACACCGAGCTATAGTCTTGGTTCCAGCCCTAATTTTTTGTGCCCCTGGGCAGGTCATTCAATCTCTCTAGACTTCAGTCAACTAACCTGCTACATGGCATGCCTCCTTTCCTCCCTAGAATGCTCTGAAGACAAAAGGCATACTAAAGCACATAAGCGCTCTGATCAATGAAACAAAAGAAATTAAAGGCTTTTGCCTCCCTCACCTCCTGAATCTGCTTGTCCAGGCCCCCAATATCACTGTATTGCTCTGTGGGTCTCTCGTCCACCTCCATGGCCTTTACTCTTGAATCATACTCTGTGGGCAGGGTCTCCAGGATTAGATAGGAGTCTTTGTTCACACCCTAGGAACAGGATAAAGCCTTCAGAACTATCCAAGCTCAAGTCCTACCTAGGTGGCAGGTGAAAAGCTTATGTAGAGTGAAAGGAAAGACACAGAACTGGGCAAAACAAGCAGCAAGGAACAGGACAGGTCCCAGACTCTTGGGGCTGCTCTGCTGAGATTCAGGGCCTATGTGATCTGGGGGCTGAGGCAAAGGCTCAGCTAGTCAGTGGGAAAAACCTCTCTGGAAAAGCCCCACCTGGGCACAGGCACCACTCACCACCAGGTCTCCTGGCTTCAGCTTTTCAGCATCCACCAATCCAATAACAGGCAAAAAGTACGTCTGTAGGGAAGATACCGGGTACAATATCCATTACTATCCCTCCCACAGCATCCCCTCACCCTTCTTAGTGATCCCCCATTGTTGAGGCAGCTTTACCTGTCGTGTAGAGGTTTTGATCACTGCACACTTGCCTTTCCTCTGGGAATCCAGGTCGATATTGGCACCATCCTCCTCTTGGTCGTTGGGATCAACATCTAGCAGCTGACAAGGGAAAATGTTCGCATCAAGAGGCCCTGCTCAGCGTCCTGTATCCTCACAGCCCAGTGCTTCCTGGACAAAGACAACTCCCAGCACTCGCTGGCCATCCCTTCCTCACTTCTCAGTCTAGCTCTGAGCCCAGCAAAGGTGCAGCTGATAAGCCAGGAGACTGACAAGACCTCTGTTTAGGAACTGTTTCTCTGCATAGAGCTCACCCACTCCGGAGAAAGAGAAATACAGCAGAAGAGGGAGACATGAGGCTTCCAGGGTCTTTCTGGAAGTACGGACTAGGGAGGGGGCCACAGGACGTACAGCTCTAACATACAATCTGCGCCCCAAACCGTTATCCACTCTTTCTCCAGTGGCCCTACCCTGGGCTGTCCTCAAGCCCCCTTGACCCCCTCTTCCCCTCCACATACACACACACCTCGATGACGTTGGAGACGAGGTATGGCAAGGTCTTGTTCACTTTGATTTTCTCACTGTTCTCTTTGATCTTGTCTTTCATGGCCTGGAGCTCGTGGGTGACTCGCAACACTTCGCTCTTCATGATCTGGTATGAAGGGGAGTGCAGGAAACGTTCAGCTCCACTCTGTTTGTCCTAGGACCCTGCAACCGATGAGGTCCTGGCTGCCCAAGGGACCTTTCCCTACTTCCTTCCCCCGGCTCCCAGAAGACTAAGCCTCATCCGGCAGAGGTCCAAACAGTGTGGAAACCTGGTGAAGTGGAAAGACCAGGCCTTCCAGTCAAACAAATAGGTTTAAGTTCGCCTCCTATTAAGAGCTGGGCATGTCGGCACAGTTGAAAACCTCCCTGGGCATCAGGTCCCTCACCTGTAAAATGAGGACGCTAATACCGGAAGGACTCCTGAGATGAACATGTAAGAATTCTCCGGGAAGGGGAGTCTGGTGATTAGTGTCCCGCCCCCTGTCCCTTCACTCTTCCTTCCTCCCCCATTTCAAACTCAGTTTTGCCTTGTCTTTTCTGGGGAGCGAGGAGAGAGCTAGTGGACTAAGAACGATGTAGAGGTGGCTGAGGTCCCCAGGCCTGCCCTGCGGGGGCTCCACCACCGCGACAGCGACCGCGCGCCCACCTTGATCTCACTGTCCAGCAGCCGCGTGCGCTGAATGATCTCTTCCGTGGACATTTTGAGTACCTCCTCCCCGATTCCATCTTGCTGTTTAGGAAAAAAAATATGTATTGTTTTCACTCAGACTGCATCTCGTGTTCTCCGAGCCCGCTCACTGCCCGCTTCCCCGCCAATAAAACCGAGACAAGGGAGGGAGCCTCCTTCTTCACATCCCTGCCCAAATCCCAAGCGGCCCCCTTCCTGGGACCAGGCCGACCAGTCTGACATTTTCGCCCTTCCTCCGCTGCCCCGGCTCCGGGACCCCCAGCTCTCCCAACGCCCACCTCAGCCTCATCCCACACGGTCGCCATCTTATCCTGCCGAGTCACTGGATCATTGAGTTCCGGCATCAGATTCACTTCCTGCAGGAGAGGGCCGAAGATCTGACGGGGCAGGAGCCCCAGCGGGAGATTAATGTCTTTCTTAACGCCTGACCCTCACTTTCTGGCAGACTTTTCCTCGTGAAACACCGAACACTTGGCCGAAATAACTCAGGCTGCGTTGCAACAACGAATCTGCTTCTCCCACTCAAAAGACGAAGTCAGGGCCACAGACCCCGCCCTCGTAGCTCCTGGGTAGGGGCCTGACTGTAAAACCGGAAGGAGAGCCAGAAAATACGGTAGCTGCGACGGCCCCTGGGAAATGTAGTTTCAATATGGCCCGTAACTGAAAGGACACTTCCCGAGGGGGGATTTCAACCCCAGTCTGGCCCTGCTAAGAATTTAGGAAGTCACACAATGGCTCTGCCTCCCAAACCATAAACAACACGCGAAAGATGTATGCGAAGAAAAAAAAAAAAATGCCACCTCAGGCCTTACTTTTTTAATGTTTATTTAATTACAAACTGGCTACTCAAGGTTACCAGAGAGAATCATTAACCAGTTGTAAAGAGGTAAATCGCTACTAACTTCAGAGCAGGCTCCACGAAATTGCCCACGTGGAAAGAGCTCCACTGACCATCAGCCTCCACAATTAAAAACATTATGACATGTCTGCAATCGTCTATTCTCCTTATCCATGGTTAGTAACTTCAGTGAGTAGGGCAGATTTCTTTGGATCATAGGCTCAGAGGATTCATTTGTTATATCTGTTTGCTGCTCTGCAGGAGCCCCAGAGTCTCCCACCCCTGAACTGCATGTAAGACATGTTTATATTTTAAGTCAAGCCATCGCAAATCCTCTCCAACTTGGTGAGTATCTGTCCAGTGGTTTTCTTTCCTTCCTGCAGTGGAAGGCAGGAATTTACTTCTTTAGATAACAACATTTGTGGTTGCTTGCTTAGACCTACAAAGCACCTCCTCAGACATTAGCATTTGATTCCATCCTCTCCACAGTCCTGCCCTGTGGACAAATTAAATTATCATTCTCAATTTTAGATAAGGACATGGAGACTCATGGAGGTTAAATGACTTGCCTGAGGTTGTTCAGTGAGTTGGTGTCAGGACTGGGGCTGCTGACCCCAAATTCCCACTTTTCAGGATAGTCTGACAGAAGTCAAGAAGGCCCGGTTGCAATGTACCAAATGTGAGTGACCAATATGGCAGCATTGAGGATGAGAAAGACATAGAGAGGTACATGGGCAGTACAGACAACAAATATTAACCCTTTTGCATATACAGTACTGAGTTGTCAGTGAAAGCAAACATGGGATATGGACAGATAGATAGGTGGACAGGCTAAACAATTAGGTATGTCTAAATGGGGAGTGTATCCAAGATCATATATAGGGTTGGCAGACAATGGGCCTATAAGTTCATGTGAATGATCAGAATTCCCAGGTGTATAGTAGAGCTGACAAGGGGCAAGGTTATGGTCATTGCTTGGTCACAGCCAGCTACCCAGAGGGACCGAGTAGTTGATCCTGTGGGCTTGGGACCATAGTCGCAGGGGACATCAAGCTCAATTGGCATAACATACTATATAAAACACTGTTCCACCTCCTACTTTGGCGAGTAGCGACTGGGATCTTAAAAGCTAGCAAGCTGCCATCTAGATGCAACAACGGGTCTCTCCTCGTCAAGAAGAAAGAAGAAAACAAAAATTAATGGAAACAATCAGTCCTCGCGACTGGTACACCATCCGCTCTGCAACCTATACAACTATGAGACCAGAAGAACTAGATGGTGCCCAGCTACCACTGCCATCCACTTGGAAGGGATGTAGGAAATCCTGCATAAAGAGGGAGAACAATGTGGAACAAAACTCAAAATCATTTGGAGGAAAAAAAAAAAAAAGAAGGTGGGAACCAGGTTTGCTGGTCCAATAGAGCCTGGTGGAACCACGGAGACTATGGCCCCTAGCTGCCCTTCAGGTCTGGAATTGAACCCACACCTGTAGTTTCCAGCCAAACAAAGTACAGGCATGTGAGTTAAACATTTACCTCAAGTAGACACACGCCCTGGAGAGAACAATCATGGGAGAAGGAAGGGCTGCTTATGCACAGGGAGACAGCTCAGGGGGCAGGAGAGTATGGAGGGATGGTCACTGGGAAGAAGTAACTATGGGGAGGAAGTGGGAGGGGAGCTGTTGCATTGTAAATTTTGGTCAATGACATGAGAGACAAAGTATATGTGAACTGCTGTATGAAAAGTGAATTTACTCTGTAAATCTTCACCCAAATAAAAATAAAATTAAAAAAAAAAAAGAAGGCCCATTTGATCACAGCCTCCACTAGCCTGAGATAAGGAGAATTAGATGGTGCTCAGCTACCACTGCTGACTGCTCTGATCAGGATCACAACTGAAGCTCCTGTAGAGAGTGGGAGAAAAATGTAGAACATACTCAAAATAATGAAGAAAAAAAAAAAAAAAGACTGGACTTTTTGGTCTGGTAGAGACTAGTGGAACCCTTGAGACTATGGCCCTTAGATACTACCCTTCAGTCCTGGAACTGAACCCAATACTAGCAATCACCTTTCAGGCAAACAATAGACAGGCCTATGAAGTAAACAAGGAGCTCTGGTAGCATAGTGCCTAAGGCACTTGACTGCTAACCAGAAGGCTGGCGGTTCAAACCCACCAGCAACTCCTCAGAAGGAAGGTTGGGCAATCCTACTTCTATAGTGATACTGCCTTGGAAACCCAAGGAGGGGTCGCTATGAGTCGGGGCCGGCTCAACGGCACATAACAACAACATGAAGTAAACAACAGTATCCATGATGAATGTGTTCCTCAGAACAATTGACCAAACAAGACCAAAAGGGCCGTACTTACCCGAAAACAAAATTCAGAAAGCAGGTAGGGGCAGGAAAGATGGCCTAGGGATATGGGGAATCCAGGAAGGAAGTGGAAAGAGTGCTGTTACATTGAGGAGAATGCAACTACTGTCATGAAATAAAATGTGTATAAATTTCTGAATGGGAAACTATTTTGCCTTGTAAATTCATGCAAAACGCAATAAAATGTTCAAAAACTGCTGATCCAGTTGAGGAAGGGCCTGTCTTCACAGTCTGTGCTGGTCCCACTCCACCTACAATAAGAGGGTCCAGTTCTGGGCACTATATTTGGAGATTCTAACAAATAGAAATGTGTTTAGGAAGCTACCAGCATGGGCCTGTGATGGTGGCAGCAGATACTGACTAGAGTAACCGGGCGCTCAGATGAAATGAGCACTTAGGGTTATCAGAGACAAGACATGGGAGCTTCTTTCATACCCAAGGGGCTATTAAGGAAGAGTTGGACTTGGCCTCAGTGCCTCCAAAAAGTGGAAGAACCAGGAGGCTTCTTGCTGTTGCTGGGTTTCATCAAGCAGATTCCAACTCGTAGCAACCCCATGAGACAGAGGAGAACTGCCGCACAGGGTTTTCCAGGCTGTCATCTTTACAGAAGCAGATCACCATGTCTTTCTCCCATTGAGGCAATGGGTGGGTTTGAACTGCCAACCTTTCAGTTAGCAGCCAAGCACCTAACCATTGTGCCACCAGGGCTCCATTAGGACGCTAGTACCAGGGATTCACGGGGAGACTGGTTTCAGTCCAAATTCTCTCTGAGTTGGAGGAGTCTTCTAGATGGTGGTGAGCTTCCTGTCATTGGAAGAGGAAAGGCAAGGGTGAGACCACAATCTGGTGGGGTGTTATAGAGAAGATTCTTGAAAGGGATGGACCCATGGGGTTTTAAGGACCTTTCTAGGTTGAATGTCTCATTCTCCAATCCTGTCCAGGATGAGAGAGGTTGATGATCTTGGTGTTCCAGCATTAGGGATGTCTTAGGGGAGGTGAGAGAAAAAGGAGAATGCGCTTATGAGGTTTCAAGCTGCTCAAGGAAATCAAGAAAGTACTAGGTTAGTCCGAGCAGGGACATGAGACTCTGGGGCCTAGCAAGCCCTCAGGAAGAGTGAGGTTGGCCCAGCTTGGTATCTCATCCGTTTGGGACCTCTAGGGAGGAAAAGGGGCCTAGGCCAGGCCTAGAATGGGGAGGAACAGGAGGTCCTGGGAGCTGAGGCACTGCATAAGGAGATGCTAGAACCAGGAATGGATCAAAAATGACCAAGCAACCCCATTAGAACTGTATGTTTCTGGGGTGGGGCTGGGAGGCAGGTCCAGAGAAGGCTCTGATTTCAGAGCCCAGCTCTGCTTTATGAGCTAGGGCAAGTCTACTCTACTCCCTGGACCTCAGTTTCTCCACGTGGAAGACAGAGAGGCCCTGATGTCCACCATACAAGGATGTGGTAAGGATTAAGCAGGTAGGGTTACCAAGAGTCCAACAGAGTAGAACTGCCCCATAATGTTTCCAAGCCTAAGGCACTTGACTGCTAACCAGAAGGCTGGCGGTTCAAACCCACCAGCCACTCCTCGGAAGGAAGGTTGGGCAATCCTACTTCCATAGTGATACTGCCTCGGAAACCCAAGGAGGGGTCGCTATGAGTCGGGGCTGACTTGACGGCAAATAACAACAACAACAACAAATCTTTATGGAAGCAGAGTGCCACATCTCTCTCCCACTTCTGAGTTAGCAGCCAAGCATTTAACCACCGTGCTACCAGGGTTCCTGCAAAACTAGTGAACGCCTTCATATTCTTCAAACCTTGTTCCGAAGCATTCCCTGACCCTCAAACACCCGGTCAAGTCTTCTTACTCTTTCTCCCATAATTCCCTGCACTTACTACATGTTGAGCCCAGGTCACCAACAAAAAGCACAATGCACGCAAACAGGCAGTGGGACACCTAGAGTGGGTCACATAGAGAAGAGACAGAGCCAGGTCAATTTCACTTGTGGGTGCTGGTCTTCTATGGCCAATGAGCCACTGCCCGCAGCGAAGGCAGGGCTGATGGTCTGGGCACACCCCTACGTGCACAGCTGGGAGACCAGGACAGATGCAGAAGTGGGTTTGGCCAGGTGCCCCCTAATACACTTAGCTAAGCAGTTCCTGGGAACAGAGGCAGCAGGTGCTCAGGGCAGGAGGGAAGGGATGTGCTGATAGCCCACCAGC